TACCCAGACTTCTGGAGCCACCTTCATCTATGTGCATTCCCCTGAGCTAATCATACATCCTATGTGACATCAGTGCATAATCTATCGTCGACTGCAGCTTCTTACCTCCCATGTTATTTGCCCTTCACACTTCTCGGTACTGTTGTTGTTGCGCATCTTCCTTCGCTGCAGCGCTATAAGCGGCAGTCACCGACATTCATCCAGTCTGATGCAACCTCGAAGGCCGCGGACGGCGCACTAGCCAGTGTATTCTAGGCACTATACAGTAACTCCATAGGATGGATGGATGGATGGATAGATGGATGGATTGATAAGGCTGTACCCTTTAGATTAGGCGGTGGCTCAATGCCACCAAGCCGTAATACTTAGTGAAACAAAAACTATATTTATTATTTTTTTCCTTTAAACAGTTAGGTTGAGGAATCGTACTTTGCAGTGAAGGGTTTAATTTTCACTCATGCCTTGACTTTAGCCACCAATCAGATAACCTTCTTCTTGTTAATTCTACCCGCTTAAAGTCTATTTAGCCCTCCCTGTCCCTACACCCCAGTGCTTTGAAAAACTCTGCGCCATCATCCTGAACTATAGGGTGAAGCCTTTTAAAGAACATTATCAAGTGTTCGGAAGTTTTCTCTTCCTGTCCACACGCACGGAATACCGTGTCTACCCTTTCGCATTCGGCGCGATATATCTTGGTTCGCAATACTTTTATCTTGGCCTCGAACAGTAGAGAACTACCCCGAGTATTATCATAGATCCTTTCCTTGGCAACTTCCTGCTTAAAAGTTCGATAGATCTCTAGTGTGGACTTCTTAATCATGCCCATTCTCCACATATCGGTTTCAGCTTCCTTCACCTTCATGCATGTAGCAATATTTCTTCATGGTATGCTTTGTTAGAAATACAGAAAGCTTTAAACTAGTACTTTTTTAAGGAATAAAAATATTTTTCATCTTGACAAGGTTACCTTTGCCCTGCCTTTACTGCCAAACATGTACCACTAGGCCTCAGCGGTGGCTTAGCGGTAGCGAATAATGCATGTCATGCAACTGCGTGTCACTATTTAGTTTTATTTGTAGAGAACATAAAAAAAAATTACGGCATATTCACGGGGTGAATGATGATGAATGGGCGAAGCTCCGGAGGGATTCATCGGTAAACTGTGAATCTTCCGTGTAATTCGCCCAGTCGATCATCATGTAAAGACGTGAGAAACGCTGTGTGTGTATATACACAAATCAACTTTTATTTGTTCTTAGACGATGGATGGCTTGCGATGTCCCTTCATTATGACGGCTTTATGGTCTGTGAAATGAAGGGAGAGCAGGTTCCTGTATGGGTTGCAGTGGGCAATTTGCAAATACTAGGTCTGTGCATGTTCCGTCTGCGAGCGCGCGCTGCTGCCGCCTTGCGCTCTCTCCGCTGTGCAGCCTTATCCATCCGGCGACTCCGAGCGCACGCCAACAGCGAACGGATTTTATTACAACGCTCCCCCTAGCGTACGTCGCCGCACTAAATCGAACGATTGCCTTCAACCAATGACACGCGTCATATGTGACATCATTCCTATTTTATAAGATCTCGCGTCTTTCATCAACTACAAGTACCGCTTTCTAGTTTATAACATCTAGCATCTTTTCATCATCAGCTACAAGTAGCACCATCTAGTAAACACTACAAGAACTAAACGAGAGGTGGCTACATACAGGAGACGGTACCGCCATCTAGTGAACATTGCAAGAACTAAACTAGAGGTGGCTACATACAGGGGACGGTACCGCCATCTAGTGAACACTGCAAGAACTAAACTAGAGGTGGCTACATACAGGCTACAGGGGACGCACAGCCCACGCCCTAAGGAGCTTCGCCCCTAAAATAGAAAATATATCTTCAGCCTTGTACCAATAAAGGCCAGGTTATATTCAAGCGCTTCTTAGTCCTCTTGAGCAGAGTTATGTTGTCGAGGGTCTGCAACACATAATGTGGTCTTGTGTGTCGCTTCTAATAATAAATACGCACATTCCTTATATATATATTACTGATATAGTTAAACTATAGTTTACCGAATCTTTTTTCTGTTGATTCAAGGATAGGCTGACGCGTGATCGCTTACTATTGCTGTGCATGATGAAATGATGTATGCTAGGCACACTTGTTGGAGATCATTCGATATCATGCCCAAAAATGACACATATTTCACATTGCCCGATCTAACTTAAACTTTGCTTGATCTTTTTTCTTAATTGTCTTATGGTGTTGAAATTGTTAAAAGCGCATCAAAATTATGGCGAACGCTTTTAATTCGAAACATCTTCAACACCTTCAGGCCATTAAGGAAGAGAAGGATCAAGTTGTTGGTATCCCACCGGTGTCCTTTTGTGGGGGAGGGGAGTAGAGGTATAAATATTGAATATGAAAGAAGTCTCTCTGAACTAATTAATCGATTCTTGGCCAAATCCCCTGAGTGGGTAAGAGCCATCGCTGGGGATTCATCATCATCATCACCGCCCACCGGAAATGGTGACTTAAGTGTAGTTTGTGGGCCGGATATCGAATCATCTTGAATGTGTACCCCTAGTATGCCTTAAGTAATATGCCTTAATATGCCTTAAGTAAATATGCCTTAGTAAATATGCCTTAAGTAAACTACACTTAAAATATAACAATAAATAAAATTAGGAATACGTGTATCATTATCAAAAACCAAACACAACATCATAATACTATGTTACAGGTCACCTACTGCATTATAATCCGGCCCCTTGGGACTACGAAGCGGTCAAATATAAGCTTACCTTGGATTGTTCAAAGGGGAGATACACCGTATTGCCCCCTTTTCACGTTTGTACAGCTGTAGTAATGAAATATTAACAAAAGAACTCGCACGCAATGTTTGATACCAAAAACATGCACTGAGACCTAGTGCTGGCATGCTATAGAGTGAAGGTGAGGCAAAGGCAAGCTTTCTACTACATCGTGGTAGTTCAGACAGAAAACTCCATACTCCTACAAAACAACAACCACCATTTTAAAACTTTCTCAATATTTTATTATAAATCAGACTATACAACAATAAATAATCCAAAATTTCAATTTTATTCGTACACTGCGAAAAATGAGCCACAATATGAGTAAAGTCCCAACTTTCCGCAACTTTGTCACAATATTTTCGCAAAGGTTTTGCTGGATTCACTCCTGCAATATTTTAATCATTTAATAAGGAAACACATAAAACAGAAATAGTAAATATACTACTGGAAAAACAATTTCTGGTTGTTATGAAAATTGCTAAACATGCAGCATTATGCAACTTTTCACGAAGGCAAAAAAAAAGGAAAGTCAAACGAAATTCATTAAACTATCATAGTAGTGCAATAGTAACACATTGAGGTTAAGCAAAACTTTGTTTCGGAGCAATATCTCAAATCAGTAATAGCATATAAATATTTAGCGTGACACTTTCACTCTTGTGCCAAAGTTTGAATTACGCTCTAGGCAACAAAACGTCACATGTATCTTCGATTTTGCGCAGTCCTACCATCGACCTACCAAATACTTCATTTTCTGCAAGGGAAGATATCTTTAGCCGAATCAGCTGCTCACACAATCAGAGACGCTGTGATGTACCCAACGCGTGATAGGTGGGGAATTTCGAACTACTCTAAACGTGCCAAATAAATAATGATCAGCAGCATCAGCCAAACTATGCCCATTGCAGGGCAAAGGCCTCTCCCATGATTCGCCAATCAAGCATGTCTTGTCTTTTCTGCAGCCACGTTATATGTGCAAACTTTATCTCATCGGCCCGCATAACTTTGTCTCCCCTTTCTGCGTTTGAATTCCCTGGGATTCCAGTCAGTTACCCTAAATGACCAGTGGTTATCCTGTCAACGTGCCCTCGCCATGTTAGCTACATCAGTTGCTTCCCAATACATATTGTTCGATTACTCAAATATTGAGTCGCCAAATGCAAATTAACAGGTCCGTTTATTTTGTAATTTTGTACCACTTATCTTGTACCCAAGGTTCAAGCATAAGTGGTAAACCGTTTTTATACTACTTACATAAGTTATCTTGTACCGCAGGTCACTTTATCGAATTGTAGAGGGCAGAGGTTCACTGCGACATTCTAGCCATTGAAAAAGCAGGTAGGCCGAACAACTACAAGCGAATTTATTTGCTCGAGTCTTGTACATTTAGACATGTTTATGCATGCCGATAAAAGGTATCCAACATTGAGGGACGCTTCCTATCACACAATCCAGCCACTTCCGAGAAGAACACTCACATCCAGCGTATTATAACACTTGGCAAGTACCATCGGCTTTAGCACATGCCTGTACAAGCACCTATATAGTGCTATTTCCTTCGGCAGAAGCGCAAAACGTAGTGTGAAAGCTTTGAGAGAACCGTAAATCATTTCGTCTGGTGCATTGAAACCTCGAGAATACAATTACCAGGACATGCTTGCGCTCGTCCAAGTAAAACAGTGAAGCATCCTTGCGCTTTATATTGAAGATGTATATTCTCACTCAGACTTAAATATTTTTATTATTGGTTTCATATATATATATTATATATATATATATACATATATATATGTATATATATACATATATGTACGGAACCAATTTTTGCGGTCCCTTACATGATGCTGATTCTTTTTCAACAACGACCAACGACACCAGCACTGACGCAATGCCAATATTTCCGTGAAACGAGCTGTAACGCTACAGCAGTAAAAGTAGGCATGTTTGCTATGATGACCCAGAAACAACACAGTATATACACATTTTTTGAGAAGCCACGAGGCATCTCATTCTTATGATTACCCTACCGCAATAGTCTAGTGGCTAAGGTACTCAACTGCTGACCCGCCAGTCGCGGGATCAAATTCCGGCTGCGGCGGCTGCATTTCCTGTGGAGGTGGAAATGTAGGCCCATTTGCTCAGATTTGGGTGTGCGTTATTGAAGCCCAGGTGGTGGAAATTTCCGGAGCACTCCATCATGGTGTTTTTCATATTCATATGCTCATTTTGAGACGTTGAACTGCACATATCAATAAATTGCAATCTCAATTTTGATTCTCGAGCATAGCTCTATTCGTACATATAGGTAAAGCTCGTCAATCAGAGTATCTGGAAAAGCTTCTTGCGCACAACAGTGACATTGTAAGGTGGTAAAAAATCATCGAGGGCACATTTCTGAAATAATACTGCTCATTTTATGGCTGAAACACACAGCATAGATAAAAAGTTCTTTCGCACAGAAACAGTATGACTACAGTTCTTTCGTTTAGTTTATTTCTTGTATCCTCCTAGCTGACTCGTAAGCCTGTGCTTTTAAAAGACGCTGCCTGATATGAGAAGTAATTGATAGGCAGGAAAAGAATAAAAGCATGTCCAATAAAATCGCCCTTAGTTGATATCGCAAACAGAGCGTGCAATATGAGTATGCGTTGAAGCACGAGACGATTAATTATGACAGTATGACAGTGTGGTGAAATGAAATTTTTCGGTAAGCCCCCTCGGTTATGTCGTTAGCTTTATCTCGATCAGCATCTTTTTGTCTTGGCAAAAGCCCTGATTGAAGATATTGATGTCTGCCAAGAATGACACGTGAGCATGATGTAGCTTATCAAGACTGCGCTTACAGCTACAAGGCAGGTCAGCGACTTCGAGTAGATCCCATCTCCTTCCGTTCGAATGTATCACGGTAACCGACCGAGAGGAAGGCAACCACTGAGCACCTTCACGCAAATCATTAAACTCAATCTCTATCGCGAAAAGCGTAGCGCCGTGAGCAACATGCTTTCCGACAGTGACCACAAAGTACGTGTCTCTCATGTGCCACGTGGTCACATCAGCAAACGTACGGTCCTCCATCCCACTCGAAAAGATTTCGTCGGCATTTTTAAGGGTCAGATTATAGGTGACGCTTGGTATTTCTGCTCCAACTTGAGAGTTGGTTGGTTGTACTTGAGTCAAAAGACGAAGCCTATCGCGACTAGGATGCACGGGCTCACAACGAGCAATTACAGCAGGATGATCAAATTGACGCATGTTCTGACGTAACTCTTCGAGAGTGCCGAGCGTTACGTTGGCGTAATGTTCAAGCTTTCTAAGTATGACTACCTTCTCCGAGGACAGTGACAGGGCCGACGATGTGGCGTCGTCATCCGTGAAACTTTTTGACTTCGGCTGTCGCGGAAAACTTTCGGAAATCGTTCTTGTTACGACCTCGGTCAGGGTATCCCTCAGAGTAAGCGCTACTAGTTTTTGCCCGTCAATGACTTCCTTTAGTACGGCATGCTGATAAGCGACACGTTTTATGAGCACAGCCATCTGGTCCTGAAGTGCAGACAGCTGGATTTCTTTGAGAACGTCTCTTAATTGCGCCTTATCGTGTTCCACATTGACGCTGGTATCTACAGAAGCAGCCGCTGTAGTAGGCGAGCGGTTCTCGTTGACGCTGGCATCTGTAGAAGCAGTAGCTGTGGTATGCGAGCGGTTATCGTTGACGCTTGTTTCTGCAGAAGCAGCAGCTGTAGTTGTCGAGTGGTCCTCATGGACGCTGGTATCTGCAGAAGCAGGTGCTGTAGTTTCCGAGCGGTCTTCATAAACGCTGGTATCTGCAGAAGCAGGAGCTGTAGTTTGCGAACGGTCCTCATGGACGCTGGTATCTGCAGAAGCAGCTGGTGTAGTTTGCAAGGCCGAGTGATACAACTCGGAACATGGAAGTCTCTTGTCACACATATTAATGAAGTGCTCTACAGCGAGTTCGCGTGGCAGGCAGTGCCTTCCTGTTTCGCAACGCAGCAAGTGGAAGACGCAATCGTTCTCGTAGTGCTGCACAAGATCCTCAATGGGGCCCTTGAACTCGCAGCCCGATCTGTGATTCCAACAGTAAACCTTCAAACAAATAAAAAACACACAGCGTTGGTTATCACATCAACTTGGTGGTTTTTAAGACAACATGACTGGCCACAACATTTTAAATATTGAAAGAAAAGGGTTCTTTTTTTCCACAGGTGATTGTCCATCTGAGTCAATAGTGAATGCCAGATAAGCAATGTAAATGTTCGCAAGAAAAGCTTGAATTTGTCGCAGTTTAGCAGACTATTTTCGGCATAAGGTTTTTTAAACTGCATGGCAAGAAATAACAGCTACAACTTGCATTATCAAAGCCCAGTCCTATACATGCAGAACCTATCACCCGGTCGGTGTGGTCTTGCAGATCTACAAAAATAGAAATATTGGCAAGAAGGCTAGTAAATATATCCGGAGAGCTATCCTAACGACCAGCCCATTTTTACACAATCATTGCTTGAATAAGAAATACTTGGCTTATGCCTGTTATAAAACTCTGTAAAAATCCGAATTGAAAACGTGTTTTCAATGACGTAGTGGAGCATTGATTGTGTTTTGTTTCACAACACGGATGAAATACTGTTATAGAGATCAATTGCAATGACACATGAAGAACGTGAAGAAAGGGACGCTGCTGTGATCTTGCAGTGCAATCCACAAGCGAAAACCAGGCACGAAAAGAACCGACAGGATAAGCGTAAACCAACGGACGTCACAGCTCGACAATTAACTTTTCTCAATTACAAAGAAATACGCAGCCAACTATCACACAAGTATGCATGAGCACTGACCAAGAACTCTCGCTCTTGTTGCTTCTTCGTGGGCGAGCGGCTCGCTATTTTCGAAAACGCGTCTGCTGGAACAAACAAAATGACTTTTGCGCTTTCTCTATATCCTACGCAAACTTTCACTGAAAGCAGGTGAAGTGCAAACCATCCACATCCCGAGATAAGTAAATGCGCGGACGATTGATCTTGCCATGTTGAGGCGCGTGGGCATCGGAATGAGTGGGGCGATGACCCTTAGAGCTCAAATAACGCGCTCTTCGCGCTATCTCTCTTGTGATAAGAACACGCTGAGGTCACGAAGCTCTGATTTGATTGATTGATATGTGGTCTTACCATCCCAAAACCACCATATAATTATGAGACGCCGCACTGGAGGGCTCCGGAGGTTTCGACCACCTGGGGTTCTTTAACGTGCACCCGAATCTGAGCACACGGGCCTACAAAATTTCCGCCTCCATTGGAAATGCAGCCGCCGCATCCGGCATTCGATCGTGCGACCAGCGGGTCAGCAGCCGAGTACCTTAGCCACTAGACTACCGCGGCGGGCCATGCGACCAAGCTCTGAGTACTGCCAATTTTAAACGGCGTTCGTAAATATCTCTTTCTTAGTGGGTTAAATAACGAACGTAGGTTCACCGAGCCAATTCACACTGCGGTGCTAGACATCTTGTTATCAACCACTGGCGACGGGAGTGAAATAGGTGACCGGTAAAATAGGCAATCACAGAGAACTGTGGGATACGATGGCTTCCAGTTCGATGCACCACACGCATCAGCACCGGCACGCGCGAATTTCGGTACTGCTACGTTGAAAAAAAGCTTCTCGCTGTGCAATGTCAGTGCTTTAGAAGTTTTTTTTGGCAAACGTGACTGTGACAATGACAAACTACGAAAGCCATGAACGGTCGGCAAACTTTCTCGCACTAAAATGATGTGCAATGCTTTTATGCTGCTCGGGGGTGCTCTCAGTTTGGCTAGCAGATCAGTCGATACGCAAAACAGCTTTCCTTGTATGTTACGGTACTGCAGATAAAAAGTCACCATTTTAAAGGTCTCAGGGGATAGGGGTTGCTGTAGCAGTTTGCTAAGAGTTCATTTCGGGATCTCTGCTACGGCTGAACTCGTCAGTTCATCAGCATGAAGCGCTACACTTATTGAGCACGTTGAAATTTTTATTTTTCTAGCCTTCATGCGCTATAGGATGCACTTCTTAGTCGAAGCCAGATGCTTATTTGAACGCTGATCTCGGTCAAGCTGCACGGCACGGCGGCACTTAAGCAATACAGTCAGAAATAGATGGCGCCGAATAATCGAAACCCTACGCTTGTTTAACGCACTTCTTCCTTTGGCTGCCGTCCTGCATGGCGCACAGTTTGACCAAGATAAACACAAATGAACTCGTCCAGCGCTTCTTGTAAACTTACTCTTGAGGGAAGCTTTCGCGTTTTCTCTCTTGTATATGGGTGCAATGGCCGGCGCTCATCTCGTATGGCAGGTAGATTTAGCCCGCGCGTTCCCATATTTTTCCTAGGCGCGCCTGAGCAACAATTTATTTCTCAATAATATATTCGCAGCAAATTCATGCGTAAGGTTTTTTAGCGTGGAATATACACGTAACTGTGATAAAATGGTTTTCGAACACTCTGGCTTCTACGTTCGGTACTCAAAGGCAACCTGTCGCTTCACAGCCGCGGCCCACCTGATTTTTTTTCTTCGTTTCATGGGAAATATACCTGCGTTTGGTTTTTATGCTCGAGTAAAAGCAGCCAACGACTGAACAACCGACCATTGCTTATCAGTACGAAGATAAACTGGCAGCCGCGCGCGCGAATCCCTAATAATCTGAGGCTCGCGGCGAACTGGTTCACCATCGTCTGCTCTTCTCGAACCGGGAGCAGACGGTGCATCCCACAATCCCTCGCTCTTTTACTGGTCACCCATTGCAGTGCAATAGCAGGGAAATGGCCATGCGCGATATCTAGCTCCTACGTGTTTCCAATGTACTTGGTGAGTCGGTAGCAGTTCGCAGTCCACCTCGTGCGCTGCTGCTTGGAACACAGGTGAAAATCCGGTACGTGAGGCACACAGAACTACAGCGCTGATCATTAGTTCCTTACAGTTTTTACTTAGATTTTCTAGTTTTGCTTCTAAAGGCTGAATCTCCTAGCATTGTCGCCCACACACTTTATTGATTTTATAGTTTTATTTATTCGTTGATAATCAGCGGCGCTGTGCATCAGCCATAGTTACGCCTAGTTCACACTGAAACATTTGCTTTCTACAGTGACCGCAATTCCCCTGCCGCCGAAACGCAGCGTCGTTCGCACTGGACGCGCACCGCGCCGCCGAATATGCCTTCTACCTCGGGGTGAACGTGGGATGGATGCGCTGTAACCCGGTTGTTGTCATGGTTCGCAAATGCCGCTAGGCTATCCGGTGGTCTAGTCTTCGATGATTCTCGTACGCAGGAAGCAAGAAAAGATAGTACTGCTTACTTTGCTGGCAAGTGGCTGTCATGTAATGCATGAAGAGCAGAGAAAACTACCGACGCCAGCGGCGTTGGTGGGTTTGTTTTGCTCTACAAGACCGCAACAAAATCGGTCCGAGAGCGATCGGTGCGGAGAAGGCTCTTTCGGCGAATCTAGCCGCCACCGAACTGGATTCGGAGCACTTTTGGCGGCCGGAATGCTCGGTGTGAACGCGGCCTAAGTGTCATATACCGGACAATTTCTTTTCTGCGTTTGTCACGCATCATTTGAACGGTAGCGGATTGCGAAGTACACAAAAGCCAGAAAATTCTTTGTGTAGCTAACATAGTGGGTGATGAACCCGTTCGCTACCCGTGACGTCCCGACGCGCTCTACAATGCGAAGTCAAAGCGCTGCGCAAACGCGCAAGGCTGGCCTGATTTAGGAGGATTTTGCTGGTTCCGCCACATGCTTAATGCGACTAAAAGCGTTCGTTTTAACACCTCGCTGAGTTGCCGCGTGCACTGAGATGCATGGCACGACCGCGTCCAACCTTCTTTCATGGGAGGGGGGACGTTAGCTCCATGCTCGTTACTCTAGCGACCATCCAGCGCCATGCGATTACGGATACTAAGATTGTGCCATCATCTGCTCCTGATATGTAGGTTTTTGAATACCACAGCCTTTCTTGGGACACTTCAACTAAAAAATTTTGTCTGTCTGCCGCCCGATCCCGCCACCCGACAAAAGCATACCACTTCCTCAACGTCCAGCCAATTTGAGTGGCAGCAAAAGTTACGTATATTTGAGGTAAAAATGAATACACAAGTATTAGGTAGTGTTTTTATCTTGAAAATGCATACATAAGTAATTCTAAAGACTGTATTGCTTATGGCGCTCTGCTGACTATGTGACGCTTTGAACGAAAAAGCAAATGTTTTCAACGATTCGCTAAAACGACACGGTGCTGCCACCTACCAGTGGCTCTGCGTTCAACAACACTTTTGGTTTTTGAGATGACTGCCAAAGGGCGTCCATATCTGACGCAGCGCCTCCAGACTATCCAGACAGAAGACTATCGCCTTTCGACGACCTTTGCCTGAGAAGCACGCAAATGCACGGACAACATATTTACTATGATGATTATTCTGTTGGCGTGTCTGAAATCCAGTATTGTTCAAAGGTGCGCCCGGTATTGTCTCCAGTAGACCAGTCATGAATCAATCGCTGATTTGGCTACCTCGCTCGCCTTGGCCTGCCTCTTTTTCGTCAACAGCAAACGAGGTGTTGTATTCTATATACATGCCTGTATATTATCCAAAATATACAATTTTTCATTTCTGTGTTTCAAGTTGCCCTGATATTCCTAAAAACAAACACACAAAGCAGTTGCGTCACGGCAAGACATACTCGATGTAGAGAAAGGGTAAAGCTCTCGTCAATATTAGATCTTTTTTTATATATATCAGAGCTATCAAGATGAATGAAGATGTGAGCTCACGCTTCCCACGTTTGACAGGAAAATGTTTTCTGTTGCAAAATGTACAATGAAAGCACAGAAATATCGTCATGAAATTCGTATTCGACGTTATTTTTATGATATCGCATGCTAACTTGCAGCACGCAATCACTCTATAAATTAGCCTCATGATCGGAAAACCTGCATCTGTTTGCCTTGCATATTTTTCATGTCTTAGAATCACTTGCATATAGTACAGAATTAGGCATTCGTTGAGAATAAAACTTTGGTGGTCTGCGTTCTGCTGTGGTACGTGAAACGTCGGATAAAATACACTTCCCTAGCGAGAAATTTGCACTACGAGTTTGCAGACAACTCTACCCACCCCAAGGTACCTTTGTAAACTCGGCTATTCAAAACCCGAGTAATGCAAGTTTAGCCAATACATTAGGAATAAAAGAAATTTTGTAGTTCACTTGAGCCTATTGTTGAAGATTGGAACGTGATTACGATATCAGGCCCCACGCACATCGCTTTCAACCGTGCCACAGTGGAAAAAAAATTACAGATGCTTATGTAGCTGATGCTGAATAAATATATCCGAAAACCTTTCTTGTAATCGATGGGCACTTCAATCAACCCTTTGTTGCACTATTCACATGCTTAGACGCGTTGCGTCATCCTACACACCTGCCACGCACTATTACATTTTTGGGGAGATTCCCTGCCCGACATAATAATCATATACAATGTTTTGCTTTCGAGGTAGTTTTAACCAATAGAGTCCCTCTAAGGATCAACATATAAATATGGCCCGAGGTGAATTCTCAATAGCAGTACAGGCATTACTTATTCAGGTGCCATTTTTCAAGATTTTTTTGGTCACGGACAAGATGACTATTTTTCGCTCAAAATCAATGACGCTGGCACCGATGCCAGTGAACGAGCTCAAGCACACCCACCAAACCATAAGAATTTTAAGCGTCGTTTAGATAGTTTTCGAGTTATTCTGCACTGCTGCTTTCTCTTAGTGGCAATTATTACCATATTTCATGGGTCTTGGCAGCAAGAGAAACGCGGGCTAATGCGAATGTAAGGTCTTAGCAAAATACTATGTATACCACTTTGCACTGTTCACTCTTCTATTGCCATGAAAAATTTCTTACAGTAAAAGATAATTGTTCTTAAGTGAAATAATGTGACAAAAAAACGTTAAAGTTGCCATAAGCCTTCCATCAGAAAACGTGAAAGAGTGTGGTACACTGATAATTTCGGAAGTCGTACTGCACGACAATATCGAGCCCAAATAAAGCTTGCTCCTCGATTTCGGACAATTTCAAGTCTCTGAACACACCTTCACTGATGAGGGGCACAAATAATGCTAGCGCACTTTAGCTCTAAACAAACACGTGTTAAATATGCTGTTAGTTTTGAGTGCCAGTCCACGGGCTCTTTTTTATTGTGTAATGGAAGGAGTATGAGTGCATGAACATGACATATTTTGTATGGCAAGTAAATGAAGGTTTAAACAAGTAGTAGGTGTCAATGATTCTTCCCACAAAAGATCGTAAAACAATATAAAACGTACTACGCAAAGCGCATTGTCTTATTGCTTTTTCCCCTCAAGAAACTCCGCTAATACCCCTCGCTATGCGTCAATGCCGCTAAGATAAAACAAATAGCTTACAAATGCAGAGCCTCATACTTACTTTTAAGCGGTTGGCTTTCTTGGCGGGGAAGCTTATGACGGCGCACTTCGCTACCTTGAAGGTCGTGCGATCCACGGGGCACAGCCCGCTGCCAGACTGGGAGGCGCAGTCGAGGCAGTACTCGCACAAAAAGTGTTTACATGGCAACCTCACTATCTTCTTCGGAATAAGTTCACAAACGCGGCATTTGCGCACCTCAGGCACGTCGTCGACCAGCCGCGTCGGTCTCCAGTTGACGCCGCTGACCGGGTGTCCGGTGAAGCGGTACAGGACATATTTTTCGTTGTCCTTCATGAATGAGTTTTAGCACCGAGCCCCAGACCACAAAAGACGCGAGAGACGCTCGGCTAAGGCTGGATACAGCTTCGGACTGACCGCTGAAAAGCGGTGGCGTAAAGAAGAATTACGTTAAGGTTTGCCTATTTATCGCGTTGATAAAGGAACTGCGGAATTAAACAGTGATGTGTAGCTGATAGTCCGTGTCGCGTCACATGGTAGTGCCTACCCCAAGAACTGATATGAAACGGAAAGCACTTGTCTGCAGAAACTATCTAAACACCTGACTGACGCAAGCAGACATGCGCCGATGTGGCAGCTAGTAAGAGAGAGTGATGTGCACAGGTTATGGATGGTCATTTGAAAGTCCGCCTTATTATGTAAAAATGGATAACTTGGCGGGTCAAGACAATAGGTTACATGAAGTCTAGAACAAAGAAAATGTCGGGGCATAAAAGTTAAGGAGATCGCGCAGAACAGAGGGGAAGGGGGGTGCAGATAGTTGGGAAAGTGTAGTTCTTTAGGCAATGACCATTATGGACGCGTTAGCAGCTAAAAAGCGCAAGCTTGCGCAGTAATCAAACATAAAGTTCCTCAAGGCTCGCTTACACGTGTCCATTGCTAAAATGCAAACGTTCTTTTTCTGCATGGAATGTTAGGTTTATTTTACCGTTGGATAAGAACATTCAAAACGTTCCCACCACGTGTGATACATAGGAGCTAACGTAAATGAGGATTTAGGTTCTGGGGACCTCGACTTACAAGAAAACTACTGAATTGTGATTCGTCAAAGCTTATTAACATAACTGATTCATAATATTCGTTAAATTTGAAGAAAACAACTGCTAAGACAGCAGAGAGAAGTATTTTACTTATTAGTGCTTCGGGTCTCGAAACAACGATATGTCAGAGATGCCGCAGTGGAGGGCTCCGGAAATTTAAACCATGTGCTGTACGTGCGTTGGCATCGCACAGTCTACCATTTCACCTCCACCGAAATGCGACCCACATGGCCGTAATCGAACCCACAACCTTCGTGTCAGCAGCGCAAGTTCCCAGCCACTGTTCCGCGGAGATGGTCAGTGACAGAAAGGCAATGTAAGATAGGTAGCGAAGTTAAACGGGTTCTGAGAAGAAATGTTTTACTTATCCTTTTTCTTTTTCATCAAATGATATGACAAACATCCAAGAGCGTAGAAAACGTATACCGAGAAGCGCTAGTGCACCCTGAAAAATATTTACAGCATCCTCTTAAAATCTGTTTTCTGTTCCTAGTGTACCCTGACGTGGTGGTGGTATGTGTACACGCAAGCTTTGGAGACGTTTCGTCGTCAGCACGTCGCTTCAATCGTCTGGTTCTTCTGCTGCACACCGCATGTCTGGAAACTATCGCGGCAGGAGGGCACAACGTTAAGATGGTTGTGGCAATGCAGTTACCCCCCAAAAGGATGAACCAGAGACCCCTTTTCATCCTTTGCAGCTTAGAGTGTAGTGCCGATTTGGATGTGATTCGCCTTACTGCTGTACGTGTTAGCAGCCGCATCTGCGCGGGACAGTGACAAGAGGAGCCACTGGTGGGCGCTGTAGGTTTCTTCTTCGCCACTCAGATAGCCCCGATCACTCTTGTATTTGACTATATCGCTGTTACTCTTTGCATGAGACATTGAATAAACGATATATGACCTCAAATGACTCATGAGTGAAAAAAAGTGAAGCTTCAAGTGAGTGGTTTCTTTGCGGCAACGTCTGTTGCCAAACTAATAACAAGATATCGAGCCGTGATGGTAGGCCATTTCGCAGGTGAACAAACAATTGCAGTGACCATCTGGGCGAACCAGCCCGCTTTGTTCCCACCTTTGCTCTTTACATCGAGAGCTTTGAGAACGCAGTTTGAATATGTGAAAGTGTCATATAAGTGTACAAGTATTTATCGTGTGAACATAAAGAAGCGCTTCACATTGAGCTTACCTTAGAAAGCGAGCAATGCTACCCAGATCGTCAGCCTTGCTAGACTTACGCTCAGAGTCGAGAATGAATGTGGGCTGTGGTGATGTTTGTCACTTGCGGAGGTGTAGCTTTGTTGCCAATACGTTATCATTGCGATAGCAATTAAATGGACACTCTCGGCTGGATTTTTCCACTAGCGTCGACATAGGCGTCGATGTCATGCACCGCATACGTATACGTATCTATATATATATAAATGCAAGAAATAAAAAACATCCAGAAAAAACACTCCTGCGTGCGAAATAGAACGTGGAATCGTTGCGTCGTGGAAGCGAAGCGTTACCACTGAGCCATTCCGGAGCACACCCTTCACCGTTTAAATGCCAAGCTACTTATACCTACGCCTTACCACTGCTCACGAGCAGGTCGGTGGGGGGGTGGGGTGGATTGTGTTTTCAGCATTAACAGCAAGATGGCGTGATGAGCGTGCGTCGCCACATCGAGCAGCGGCGCCCGCTCTAATCTCCTACTCGTACTTCGCCCGGCTTAGAGAAGGGGAGCGACGCTCCCTCACGCGCACTATCTTGCGGCGGTGCGGAGGGGAAGGTTGTACGCCTTGGCTGGCCTCAGACTTTACCTGGAACAATTCTGCTGTAGTTATCGGGTGCAAAAAGGTCACAGCAATCATTGCAGTCTCCTTTCGCGAAAAGCGTGTGCTTTTTACACACAGCAAAGTAACAAATGAGACGCTTATTCACGAGCATTCGTACCTGTGAGTACGTTTTCTGCGTCATTTGTGCGTGAAGAACGCGGGGCAAGTTTCGATATGCTTTTCATTATGAACGTGACCTTACCACTTGTTGCTATCGCATTCCTTGCTTCGCCTTTCCGGCAAAACTGTGACCTTGTAGACAACAAAGCATGGCTATGTGAGGTTGTTTATTTTGTGCTTCCTAAGCAGGACACGATGTCTTTCGAGCGTGCAGGCTGAGGTGCCGTATGTGGGTGGAGACCGAGCGCTGACGGCTCGTTGCCCCCATGTATCGTGAATCGTCGTACGCCGCGTGCGCCGCAACGCACCGAATCGAATGCCGAATCGCACCGTGTGTCCAGCGTTTTGAAGGCGGAGGTTCTTCGTCGACAATCTGTCGTCAGTCAGCAACTGCGTGCTGTTCTTGTATGCGTCCGGAGTGAAGGAAAGGCAGCGAACAGAGTAAAGTGTGCACGAGGTATACACACGCTTGCATCAGCGACGGATCGGAGTGAAATTGGTGGAACTTGCACCTATTCTCCCTCGTCTCACTGGCGCAAGCCAATTCATAGGACAAAATATTGGCACCATGACGACTGATTTGAAAACAAGAAAACGATCCCTTTGCCCTCTGATAAGCTTATATTTTTTATACGCGTGCAGGTACACCATATTCCAAATTGCGCAAGCTCACTTCACAGGTACGCTCTAGTAGACAATAGTGACCACACGGTGCGAGCAGACGATCGAGAGGGCGACGCGTGAGTGCCATTTCTACGTTTTGGTGCTTGACGTCATCACAACTTGCCAGACCGCTAGGGAAAGTCACCAGGATTAGTACTGTAGCCTGATGTCAATTCAGTGTCGATGTTGGTAGCTCCAGAGCGGGAAGTTCGACTTTGAAATCAAACTAAAATATCTTATCAGCACTTGCTGAGCGCCCCACTTGTTCAGAGCAGTCTCTGTATACATATGATTTTTATCGTGGAGTAAACTAGCCTCCGAAAAAAGGTTTCAATACCACTTTAAGGGCCCATGCTTTGTCTGCCTTGCTACAAGCTGATGTAATGAGAACCGCGGACCAAGCGGTAGAGGGAATGAAAGTCGGTGCTGCTTCAATGTCACATTCTTGAATGTCGTATGCCCAGGCCACGTTAACTATTATGCAACTTTCTGCAACAGGTGCTTTTAGTACGACACCGCTTTAGCGCTTAGTTGAAGCCACAGCTGCCTACTATACAGTGACATTCGCTGAGAGCTGGAGCGACAGAATCATTACGTCTACGCAGTCTCAGTATTTGAATAGCCGAATGAGAAAATGTGGGTTATTTTATTGGGTCAATATGGTCGCCTTTCACTGTGTTCAGGCTGTTTTACATCTTGCACATTTATTTTGCAGCGTCACTCGTTCACGGGGTTTCTTCGTGTCCATCAAAAGAAATATCCCAGAAATAACTGAATAAATTAAACAAAGCGTTTTCCAAACGTCGGATTAGAAGTGAGCCCCCGACGCTAAGCATCAGTGCTTCCGAGAAGTGCATATATATATATATTAAAATAGAGGTGTCGCACGTCGAGAAAGGTTCCGACGCAGCTTGGCGAAATGTGCTTTATTAGGCAGGTCTGGCTAATGGCGAGCAGTGTGCGCGAGCTACTACTACAGCCACCGGTCATCATTGTCTTCTTCATTACCAGCAGAGCGTCCGTTATTTAGATTCATTACAATTACTCCCCGCGAAATACGGAGCCATCCTGGCGACCTATGGACAAGTAAACACGGGAGGGTCGTAGCAGGGCTTAAGTCTCGAGACGTGGACAATTTCCTGGACACGACGACGTTGGTCAGAAGATGGTTCCAGTGGCTCAATGAGGTAATGCACTGGTGACGTTTTTTGTAGCACACGATATGAGCCATGATACTTGGGGACCAGCTTGGTAGAAAGACCAGGTGTAGCAGAAGGGACATGCAGCCAGACGAGTGAACCTGGATCGTAGGAAGTAGTGTTATTTGATGCGTCATGGTGGTGCCTTTGGCGTCTTTGGTCTTGGGTTGTGAATGATCATGCCAGTTGGCGGCATTCTTCAGCGTATGTAGCGGCTTGAGACAAAGTCGTGGACTCTGAGGAGTCAGGTTTGTACGAATGAGTGCTGTCCGTAGTGCGAGAAGGTTCGCTTCCGTGAAGGAGGAAAAAAGGAGAGAACCCAGTAGTGCTTTGAATGGCGGTATTATAGGCGAACGTGATAAACGGAGCACTCGGTCCCAATTGGAGTGGTCTGACGAGATATACATAGACAGCATGTCACCAAGGGTGCGGTTGAAGCGCTCTGTCATTCCATTGGTCTGGGGATGATAGGCGCTTGTTGTGCGGTGAGCGA